TATTTTCAAAGATAACGGGTTGTTCTGAATCACCCTGTAGAAGGAGTAAAACTGAGTCGAAAAGTTCTGAACCATTTTTTTCTATTATTTATAATAAAGGAGTAATTATTGAGTAAATCAGGCCAATCAGCGCAGATCTTTAGCCAGGCGCTGATTGGCCTGATTTACTCAATAATTACTCCTTTTTTATAAATAATAGAAAAAAATAGTTCAGGACTTTTCGACTCAGTTTTACTCCTTCTACCTGTCTACGAGAGATTGTACGGCAATTCTGGGACACTCTGTATATATATATATATATATATATATATATATACATGTAACGAATTCTACTTGTAAATTTTACAAGTGAGTATTTTTTGAATTGAAATCTCAATTCTTAAATTCATACAGAATGCTAATAAATATTAATAAATATTAATAATAATAAATTAATAACTAATATTAGCCTTCAGCGGTAAAATTGTGCTAACTTGTCGTTTTTGTCAATATTGATGTTGACTTTTTGATTCTCAAAGTAATCAGCCAATCACGTTCGATTGTTGTAAAGCGGCCTTGTTCTGTTGCTGAACACGGCAAAAATGATGGACGTGCGATTAGTCAATTGCGAATCGTGTCACGTCGATTACGACTTACACCAGCTGTGTGTCCGTATAGAACTGTCAGCCATCGATTACAAACGATTTTTGCCGTTTTGGAAGAGCAACGTTTTGCGTTTTGTAAACCTGTGCCCGTTCTCTTCCGTGCCGTGCTCATATAATATCATCAGCGATACTGTTTCTCAGCTGCCTCGTACAAACCCAACCAGAGATAGACAACAACATTTGTCACAACATGGTACGTACATACGCGCTGGACACCCCGTGACAGAGAAGAGTAGGAGGTCGCGGAATAGCTTTCGATCAGCAAATTTTTTCTCGATTCAGTTAATCTTTCTCTCGCGTCGAAATATTCGAAAAATTTATATTTCTCGTCACCTCGCGGGAACATCTCGTCGATTCGCGCTACGCTTGACGAAAATTTTCTATCTCTCGCGATCGTTAATATTTTCTGTCGCATAACACTGAAACAACTTCGCGCGTTTACGTCATTTAATTATTGTGTTTTCGATATTATTACGCTATGTTTTTTTATCAAAAACTGCGAATCGAAAGTTGCATTTGTCTCTTGTTGATGTTAAAAACATATATATTTTGATTTAATAGAAGCTTGTATCACAGTTGTTTTGGCAAAACAAATATTTGGCAGCCACGCAATTCGTAAATTGTATATTGAAGTCTACTTTCTACGTGTTGTTCTTTATAGCCGCCTCAGACAAGCGGGGAAACTACCAGCGGGGAGAGTACCAATAGTGAACCGTCAAATCAGAATGAAATTCCAACAGTTACCGTAGCCATGCCTTTTATACATGTCGGCATACATGGTCATTCCAGTACTAATACTGGTTTATATGCTACAACAACAAATCAAATGGTAATTTAACATTTGTGGAACAATGATAATAATGACTTAAATAATTCTCAAGATAATAAAATTTATGTTTATAGATTGAAGGCGAAGAACTTCCACCACCAAAACCAGATTTCACCGCGCCACCTCCTTATGAAATTGCTACCAAATTGCCCAGTTATGAAGAGGTGCAACGTGAAAAGACTCTGCAGGGCGAGCCCCAGCCTCAAGTACATATGGTATATAATTTACATATATAATTATATTGATATATAACATGTAATTGCATATATATATATATATATGTATGCATATTATATATAATATATATAATGTATATTATATATAATATTTTGAATTATATAGTTTTGAAATCGTACAAATTTAATTTTTTTTGTATAATTTTAATTTATTATAAGTGTTACAAACTAAATTATTTTGCAGTCAGGGAATATTAGATCACCGCAACAACCTCTGACAATATTGGCTATAGATACAGAAGCCGCAGAAGGAGATCCAGAGAGTGGTTTACTTGGAACAGATTTTATGTTCTTCACAGCATTTCTTGGTAATGTATTTTTTATTATATTCTCTATTTTGATCTGTTTTAAAGCTACAAATAATGTTAATTTGTGTTCCTAATGTATTATCTGGCATCTTTTTTTTTTAGTCGCATTTTTGTTCAACTGGATTGGATTTCTTTTACTAATGTGTTTCTGCCATACTATTGCCTCTCGATATGGTGCATTAGCTGGTTTCGGATTGTCTTTAACAAAGTGGACACTCATCGTCAAGCATTCCACCGATCTTGCTTCGCGAGAGAACTCATGGTTATGGTGGTTGATAATGGCATTTGGTTTGTATAATTTATACAGAATGTTTGAAAAAAAAAAAAAAAAATACTTCACTTTCGCATTTCTATTTGAATTGCAAAATATATAACTATTGTTTCAGGAGTTTTAATCTGTGTACGTTCCATTATTCAATATCTGAATATCAAACGCGGTTGGCGACTATTATCCGGCAGCGCACAGGAGCGTTTACTGTTTTTCTATTAAAAAAATCGATTCAATCTGCACTTTCTATTCAACTTGGCTTCAGAGCAAACAACATTTCTATATGGAATCGTATATTTGTATAATATATAACCGACATCCTTGTGAGAAAGAGCGTCGTCATGTAGAACATAATATCTATCATTAATTGTGTATCTATATAGAAAAAAGAGAAAAATTTTAGAATTCAATTTGCCAAATTCACTATATATATATTTAAAAAACAGATAATATGCGAATGACAAACAAAGAAGCTTGAGTTTTTGCACATATATACTGATTCACAAAATAAACTGTTTTGTGATGATCTATAAGGTAGATGGAAAAATAGAATTGTACATTTTTATTGCTCAAAATAATATAAACAATGCTTGAAAACCGATGAATTTATTCATTTTTTGCGTTGTTCATTCAAATACAAATGTCTGAAGTACATGGAGTGTATGTCAATCTGCAATTCATGCAAAAAATCGTCGTATTAAGTGAGTTTAGGTGAGTCGTACGAAGAAACGAAGTATACAACTCGTTACTATTATCAGAGAAAATAATAAAGAACAGAAAAGTTCTGATAGTATACAAGACATTCTAGCGAGATACACACACACACACATATATATATATATATATACATAGAGAGAGAGAGAGAGAGAGCTTCTAGAGATTTGATTACTATAAACATATTAATAAATATATGATAAGTGTATTGATAGTTTTTGTTTGTTTATAGTATGATAATTTATATATATACATTATATATATCATATGTAAGACAAATTCTTATTCAATTATGAGATATAAAAATTATATATATACCCAGCAAACAATTTCTGTTTTTGACAATTTCGGCGCAGACCTTGGCAACAGAAATTGTTTGCAGAAATGCTACAATACGGAAACACTGCCAAAACTGTTAGCACACAAAAAGAAAAAACGCAACAACTTTGTTGGCAATATACATGAGAGTATTGCGGTCAAAACGATTCCATATATGTCAGTGAAATTGACAACAAATAGATGGTCGATTGCAAGCAGATCTGTTTTTAGCAATAATGTGACCAAACAGTCCGCAAAACCGTACCAGAGATCTGTTTACGACAAAAATCGGGTTGATCTGTTAAACGCATTGACGACAGATTGCCACCAAACGCCAAGCAGGTCTGTTCGTGTATACGTGCGCACTGTTTGCAATTTGGCGCCAACAGACGATGACCAAACCTATTCCGGATTTTGGCTTCACTTTGGCGATAATTTGACTTCGCTTTGCTTGTGGCAGACTCTGTCATCATTTTGGTCGCATTTTGACATTTCACATGTTGACAGACATGATTACCAAACCATATCCTACTGAGGACACAGATGGATATGGTTCTGTGACCGAAATGTTTGCTGGGTATAATATAATACATATATATATGTATTTAAAATTTTATTATAATCACAAAATGATATGTGCGCGATTATACGTTATTTTATGAAAACTTTCATTGTTAATATCTATTCTAAAGATAAAACGGAAAAAAAACAGTTATCCAAAATATTGTTCCTTTTTCCTCGTTTTAACTTTAAAAAAAAAACACACAATTATACGAAGTGTAGTTCACACACACATCCAGACACATACAGTTTTTACGAAACGATTTGTGCATCTTTTCACAAATATTTAAATCTTTGCACAATATGTTTTTCAATAAACATTTTGCAAATACAATCAATGAATAAACCTATTTATCAACAAAAACATTGTTATCATTCGGTCATACATTTTAAAAGTAATAGTTATACTAACACGTCAGTAATAAGATTATATATATATATATTTTTGTTGAGTTTAATCTATATTTTAGATTTTTACAATTATAAGTTATATTAATTTTTCTAAAAAATCTTGCACTATATAACTAGTGTTTAGTACAAGTTTAGTGTGTTGGTCCCATGGTGTAATGGTTAGCACTCTGGACTCTGAATCCAGCGATCCGAGTTCAAATCTCGGTGGGACCTGCCATCATTTTTTTCTTGTTATTTTTATTTATTTTACAAATTTAGCAGTTTTAAATTTTTATTTATAAAAAAACTCGATTATGTAGCTCGCATAATATTATTATATAAGATAACATTTTTTTTCTCCGCACCTTTTTATTAGAGAACGATACAACAATATAACAAAAAGAAACAACTTATTTTGTCACAAGCCAATTGTTATGTTTTATTNAAATATTAACGCGCGCTTATTGGTGTAAATTTAAAGATAATCCATTTTTTTCTGTGTGTACAACAATTAAAATTTATAATTTTTTAATTTAAATTTATTATGGGATTTTTACGTAGAGAGTGTGTAACTGACGTTCGAGTATTCTTATAGATACAGGTAGATTTCTACGTTAAAACATAGTTTTTTACTTATCAATATAGTCATCAAATTTAAAATCATTNAAAATAATCAATTAGTTATGTTGATTGTTCACAAAAATTAACTTGAAACTGCTTGGTGTTGTGTTTACGCAATACGTACGTAGTTGCGCAGGCAAAGGCGGGGATGCGTTAATTGCATCACAATATCTCAATAATACCTTAAACAATGAAAAGTACAATTTTATATGTAAAGCCATTACCGCCCCTGTTAGTACATACCTATATACAAACCAATACATATTATTAACTAAGCGGGTATACATTACGATCAAAATTAGTGAAGTTATTTACATACGATCTCACTCTTATTAAGCATAAATTTTTTTTGCCAATTATGTGTTACAGAAAACATGAAAAGCTTCGGGGAATACAACAAAGTTGATTATATTACATCCGATAAAGATAATCCCGTGGTTTTTTTGGACGTTGCAGTCGACAGCGAGAAAGGTATGTCCGTCCGTGAGGTTATAATATAATGTACACAGATATTAGACTCATATTTTTACGTTTACTCATATCTATACAGTCGGAAGAATTGTTATAGAATTATTTAAAAAAGTTGTGCCNCGAACTGCCGAAAATTTTCGCGCATTATGCACCGGCGAAAAAGGAGCTGGTNTAAAAGCCAAAAAATTACACTACAAAGGGAGTATTTTTCACAAGCGTAAGCATTTTTGAAACTTTTAATCTATAAATCTTCTGCTAATTAAGTAATAGAAATTTTCGAGTCACATAGTAAAAAAAAAAAAACAGTTGATAGCAGTTGATTGTTATTACAACTCGATTGTAGTCATTTCGCAGTTTATGATCCAAGGAGGAGATATTGTTAATTACGACGGTACCAGTGGAGAAAGTATTTATGGCTCACATTTTGAAGACGAGAATTTTATATACAAACATCGAAAACCTGGACTACTAAGCATGGTAAATGAGGGACAGCCAAATTCCAATAGTTCTCAATTTATCATCACTGTTCAACCTTCCACACATTTGGATAACACCAATGTAGTATTTGGAAAAATAATAAAAGGCATGGGTGTTGTATTAGAAATCTCTAAAATACAGACTGTGAAGGATATTCCGGTCCAAGTAAGACTGTGTTTCTTAAACATGAGAGTAAATTAATTTTTGCACTCTTTCAACAATCAACTATAGATTGATCTACCGGTTTGTTTAGAAAATAAGTATAGTTGATTGTGGAGAATTGAAAAGAGATGAAAGTTGGGGATTGGAAGAAAATGATGGATCCGAAGATGTTTATACATCATGGCCCGAAGATTGGGATTATTCCTCCAATGTTGAGAAGCTCAGTGTAAATCAACTTTTTGTTATTATATATTCACAAAGCTTTATAAAAATTTATACTTCAGATACTATTGTATATTAAACTTTTGACATATACACCTTTAGCACAAATATATGGAGGAAGTCATAANGAAGATAAAAAACTCAGGAAATGATTATTTTTTTAAGAAGAATTTTGTTGACGCTGCCAGAAAGTACAAGAAAGCATTACGCTATTATCGTTGGATGAGCGCGAAGCAAGACATGCCGGATACATTGTATGCTTCATTGGCGGATCTCAAACCAATTCTNTTATTGAATTTAGCTGCTGTACGATTAAAGCAAAACAAGCCTCGCGAAGCCATAGATCTTTGTAACGAGGTAAGTAATATCTTATGAAAAAATTAATATTGTTTCACGTACGAATTTGTTTTATTCAGGTTCTGCAATTGGACGGTACTAATAGCAAAGCGTTATTTCGACGAGGCCAAGCCTATATTAATTTGAGCGAATTCAAGTTAGGGTTAGCAGATTTGCAACGAGCACTTGAAGCATGTCCTAATAACAAAGATATTATACAAGAAATAAGAAAATCAAAACAGATGGAAAACTCTTATTTAGAAATTGAGAAAGCAACGTGTCAAAAAATGTTTAATTNAGAATACACTTGTATATTTGTTTAAAAATTTTAACTATTGTCGACTCTCCACTTAGCATCGCTTAAAACTAGATTTCACTGGCCAGTCAAAATGACCAGTTTTAGATTTTTATTTATAAAACTTACTCAAATTTATAATATTGCATTTCAGAAATTTTTTGACTTTTTTGCAATATATAAAAAATTAAGTTTATCAATTTGTCNTTAAAAATTTCTAAAATGCAAAGCCATTAATTTTTGAGTAATTTTGAAATGAAAAGTTACCAGTCAGTCATTTTGACTGCTTGCAGTAGTTCTAGTGTTAATCAACACGACAAGTGCAGTAAAATGGTTGACAATCATGTTTTTGTTTTTTATTTCATTTTTTTTTTTTATATATCTTTTATATAGCAATAATATGGCAGTCTTTATTTAAGACGAGAAATTAAGTTTTATATAATTTTATATACGCGTAAATGTAAGATTAATAAAATTAAGATTTCTAGATGGTAAAAGTTATAATCAAAGACGCATCAAAAAGCATGCTTTCGTAATGATGTGGTAGTAATGTACTAACTAACTGTATCAGTAGCAATGTATCATACATTTATTGAACAAAAATGAACAAACATAAGGATATTTAGTAATCAAATGTTTATTGTGTATATATATACATAAATGTTTAAAACAAATGTTTAGATAGAAAAAAAATGTATAAACAAAAAAAGAAATATTTCAGGAATATCAAATATTCGTGGTTGATAATATATAACATGCTCTGAATGTATATTTTTATAAAAACACAATTGTAAATAATATGTGAAATAAGAACATGTGTATCTTTTTGGTATGTTGTCAAAAAATATGAGAAATAAATGTAATATCACAGCTGTTTCTTTTTCATTCTTGTCTCGCAAATTAATATAATGAATATCTGTTGTTGTTAAGAAATTCGTCGGTTTTTATCAAGTAATTTATACATATATTTTTCGAAAAACAATTTATAAATTTATAAGCTATCTGTTTTGCTGAGGCAAATCTTATTATAAACGATTCGCTATAATCTTGTAAATTGCAAGTAATATTTGATTTAAAAAAAACACGTTGGAAAAACATTTATTAATAATGTAGAATAAATTTATACAATTGTATTAGATTTATAATATCAAGTTTATTAAAGCTTTATATACGTATATTTGCAGAATATTATTCTCGATTAGACAGGAATTTTTGTCGCACATAAATATAACAAGGTGGTGGAATCGTTAATTACAGAACTAAAATCACATGGTTTTTTTTTTTTTTTGCGTCGCTTTTAAATCGTGCTTGTTGTACTAGCATATTTTATAATGAACGTCTCGTAATGTTTATTTCACAACGTTAGATAATATCTACATAACAATTCTCGCAAGTGAATATCTACAGTGTATCTAAATGTAAAAGCTATTATATTGACTAGATTCAATATCATGTTTCTATTATATTCTGAATAAATCTTCGGTATTTTGGGTTGCGCCCATTGAAAGCAACACTTTTGCGTTTTACGTATAACTAAATAAATAAATAAATAAATAAAAGTGTGCACATAGAAGAAAGCTTTACAAATTAATTAGATTTTAGAAGTATGGTTTTTATGGACAATAAATATATATGTATATACATAGATCCTACGATTTTATTTTATTTTTTTTTAAACAAACGAAAGCTTGACAACAAGATATAATTTAAGAAATATAATTACGGTCATCCGAGCCGATCGCAGGATGTTGTGCGGAAAAACTGCGTATATATATATATATATATGCATATATATATATTTGTTCGCGTGTAAATTTTTACACGCGCGTTTTTTGAATTGAATATCAATTCTTAAATACACGCGCGTTTTTTGAATTGAATA